GGAAGTGGATGGTTAATTATGCACGATGTTAGACGCTAATATAATTATATTCCTATTTTGATATGCGGTTGTAGTCATTTGAAAATGTTAAGTTGTACTGTTTTATCTTTCTACTATTAACATATGTTAAATATGATACACATTTATTTATAATAATAACAACAACAACAACAACATTGATAATAATAATAATAATAATAATAATAATAATAATAGTAATAATAATAATAATAATTCAGGGAGCCTTTAGTGGTCGTGTTTCGGGCTGTTTTTTAGGCGAGTTTAGGTTGTTTTCAGGGCTCGATTCAAGCAATTTTCTGGTCGTGTTCAGGGAGTATTCTGGTTGCCAGCAATCGGTTTAGTTTTGGGTGTAATTCAGGCGTGCAAAGGGCAGTTTTCAAGCGTTTTCCGGGCTGGTTTCTGGCAGTTTCTAGGCTGGTTTCATGCTTTTTCAGGCGGCTGTTTTTTCTGTTTGTGGGCAGTTTTGGGGTGTTTTTGGGTGCAATTTTAGGCGATTTTCAGGTGCTGTTTTTACAGCAGTTTCTGGTGCAGTTTCGGCAGCTCTTGGGTGCAGTTAAGGGTGTTGTTTTGCGGCAGTTTCGGCAGCTCTTGGGTGCTGTTTTGGGTGCAATTTTGGGTGCAGTTTTGGGTGTTGTTTTGGGTGCAGTTTTGGGTGTTGTTTTGGGTGGTTCAAGTCAGTTATGTCGGCTGCCGTTGTGAAGTTTCATTGTCCCTTTGTGGGACTTAGTGGTTGTCAAGATGGGAGTGGAAATGGCCTTACTCGACGTTCTCTAATCAAACATCTTAGTGATCGTCATTGTTGTATCGGTGAGCGAGATATCACCCGACATTCTCTTACTTCTAATTTGGCTGTTTATAATGAGGCATAAGTTACTTTTAGGCGTATGGGGATTTGGTTATGTGGAGTTTGCTATAAAACGCACACGGTACGTATTAAGTGGCGTCATGATGGGGATGAGGATGTGTCACCCCCTGATATAGGTGATGGTGTTGTTCGTTTTGTGCTTCATAATTTCACCAAGCCGCAATCTCCTTCTTCTCCTGCTCGAGTTGATCGTAGGGATGGATTGGTGCGAGATCATAGCAGTGGTTTTGATGTTGCTCTCCTTGATTGTTTATTCTCTAAGGGGTTTCGCTCTGTTAAGTCTATCCCTCCCAAGTGCCGTTTGGGGTTTTCTCGGGTTCTGAAAGGTGCTCTTGATAAGGTGATCTCTAAGCCTGATGACATTTCTAATTGGGTCTCTTTGTTGGTGTTACCTCTTTGCATCCTTAAAATCTTTCGCCCGCGGAGTAGTCGTGAGTCTCGGTCTTCGGTTAGACGTCGACATCAAGAAGAGAGTATTTCCCGTGCTATTTGTTCTTGGAGTGTAGCGGGTGGTAATTTGCAGCTTGTGAGGGAAATTTTGGCAGAGGATTCTCCTACTTTGTCATCGGTTGATGATGAGGACATTAATTTGGAAGAGCGTAATATTAAGCAGTGTCGTAGGAAGATTTGCGATGGCCATTACACTGCTGCAGTTCGGGTTCTTTCTTCTTCAGGCGTTGCACCTTATAATGACGTCACTCTTGCAGATTTACAGTCAAAGCACCCTTCATCTCCAGCTCCATCCTTGCCTTATATACCTATTGATAAGCTTCATCTCGTTACGACTTCTGCTGTTGTTTTGGATCGAATTAGGAGTTTCCCTCGTGGCACATCATGTGGTAGAGATGGTTTGCGTGCTCAACATCTTATGGATTGCTTGAGTGGTGCAGCTGTGGCAGTCTCAGATGAGTTGGTTGACTCTATTACTGGGGTGGTTAATCTCTTTCTAGCTGGGAGATGTCCTATGGAATTAGGAGAGTACATTGCTAGTGCTCCTCTTACGCCACTTGTCAAGCCCGGTGGTGGTATCCGTCCTATTGCTGTGGGTACGGTTTGGCGGCGTCTCGTTTCGAAGGTGGGTGCTGTTATGGTTGGTCAGTCTTTAGGGAGTTACTTTGATGGCCTTCAATTTGGTGTTGGGGTTTCTTCAGGTGGTGAGGCAATTCTTCATGCGATGAATCGGTTGATTGAGGACCGTGGTTCTGATGTTGGTCTATCTATGTTGTTGGTGGATTTTCAAAATGCTTTCAATCTGGTTGATCGTTCGGTCATGTTACGTGAGGTACGTCGTCGTTGTCCGGGCATTTCGCGATGGGTAGAATTCTGCTATTCTAATCCAGCCAGGTTGTACTATGGGGACTGTTTCGGGGTTTTCTGATGTCCTGCGGATAGTTACAATTCCGGGACTGGTATCCTTGCGCCTGTACCTGCAAAACAACGGAGACTCCTTGTGGTGGGAGCTCCGCCTCCAACGGTCAAGTTAGTACTTGTTTGAGGAGTGATAAATGCGGAAAGTAAAGGTGGGAGATCTGGTTCCTCTAGGGGAGGAGTGATCAATGTGTTTTGGTTTTCTCTAGGTGAGAGTCATTTTGCTGAATCCCCTTTAATAAGGATTAATTAAGTATTTATAGTCTTGAGAAGCGTGCCAATTTTAGGTTTAGGTTAACCAGGGCAAATTGGGCTTCTCTCGGACTTTGGGCCTTGGTGGCCATTTTGCCTATTTGGCATATGGGAGGCCACGTGGCGTGGCTTGATTAATCCATGTTGGACCTCTTAGGGTGACAAATGGCGGACGCTGATTGGCCCACGTGGTGGACACGTGGCAGGTCCGGATTGGTCCATTTGTCATGGGTAATTTTTACCCTAAACAGGGACCATACCTTATGGTCATCTCAAGGGGTGCAGCAGGGTGATCCCCTTGGTCCTTTGCTTTTTTCTTTGGTTTTACAACCCCTGGTGTGTAAAATCAGAGAGACTTTTAATGTATGTCTTCAGGCTTGGTATTTAGATGACGGCACGATTATTGGTGACACTTTGGTGGTGGGGTAAGTTCTGCAGTTGATTATGAAGGAAGGACCTCGTTCTGGGTTATGTCTTAATGTGGAAAAAACTGAAGTTTTCTGGCCTACAGAAGACCCTCGAAGCAGGCTGGTAGGTGTCTTTCCACCTAATATTGCTCGACCTTTGCGTGGTGTAAGGTTCCTTGGAGGTACCGCTAGTTCCGATTCTGGTTTTAGTGGTGAGCTTGTGATGCAGAGGGTGACCAAGACCATTGCCCTTATGGATAAGGTCGCTATGCTCGATGATCCTCAGTGTGAGCTGTTGTTACTTAGGGCATGTACCGGAGTTTCAAAACTCTACTTTGCATTACGTACTTGTCCTCCTAGTACTTTTGAGGTGGCTCAGCGCACTTTTGATACTGCTCTTCGATCTTCCTTGGAGCGTATTGTTACTGCTTCGGGGCCTGGGTTTGGTGATTGGCACTGACGACTTGCCACCTTACCATTTGCGTTTGGAGGGCTTGGTGTTTATTCTGCATGTGATGTTCGTCACTATGCTTTTCTTGCTTCTCGGTTACAGTCAGCTGGGTTGCAGACACAACTTCTTCGGCATGCTGGCATTGTTGGTCTTGGACGAGCCTTTGAGGATGCGTTGAGTCTGTTTAATGGAACAGTGGAGTCTGACATTTTGAGTAATCCTAGTGAGATCGCTGCCCCTAAACTCATGAAGAAATTGGCAGATATATATTTCACAAAGGTTACCGCCTCTGCAGAATCTGCTTATTCTTTAACTCCTCGACAATCAGCATTATGGAAATCACAGCAGGGTGATCACACCTCTGCTTGGCTTCGGGCGGTTCCTATTTCAGGGTTGGGTCAGACGATGAACGCCAAGACTTATCGCTGTGTGTTGTCCTATCGGTTGGGTGTTCCATTGTTCTCTATCTCGATGTTGTGCTCTGCTTGTTCGACGGTTTTTGCTGGAGATATTTTCGGTGATCACGCGGTGTCTTGTGCTGGTATTGTGGGTATTAAACATCGGCATAATGTTGTTCGAGATACCCTTCTCCTTTTCTTCGCTTGGGGAATTAGAGAAAGAGGCTGTTGCGTTACTGAAGCCGATTCAGAGGTTCTCGACGACGCAAGATATTGGGGCTCGTGCTGCAGCTCATATCTTCACTAGGGTAGGATTTGCAATAGCTAGAGGAGTGGGGGCCCAGATTGTATCTCGGCTTCCCACTAATTTATTGTAGGTTGTATGACTTTTGTTTTTGAGATAATAATAATAATAATAATAATAATAATAATAATAATAATAATAATAATAATAATAATATCAGTAGTAGTAGTAGTAGTGGTAGTAGTAGTGGCAGCAGTAGTGGCAGCAGAAGCTCAAAAGAACATTAATAATAGTATTAATAATAACACCATTAATAATAGTATTAATAATAATGTTGAAATCTGCTCTGCTCGCCTCGGCTCTGCTCTACTCAAAAGAAATCTGCTCTGCTCTGCTCGGCTAAAATTTAATATGCTCTGCTCTGCTGACCCCTGCTCTGCTCTGCCCAGAAGCTCAAAAGAACAGGGCCTTATTAATTTATTGTTTTTATTGCAACTGAAGTTGGGTTTAAATAAATCAATTAAAGATTTGAATTTCATCACGGGAGTAATTAAATGGATGATTGGAAAGTTAGAGTAATATGCTTGAATTCCTTAATTTATATGATTCCACGAAAGGAAGCTTGATTATTGTATTTAAAGAAGTATATTACTAAAATTTAATCGCTTTAATATCATTATTGTTTTGGTCAATCCTTCCTTGCCTATCTACATAGTAGTGGTCTTGTTAGGTTATTTTTGTTAGGTAGGCGACACACCTATCAGCTAGAGACGGGCTAGAATAATGGAAGTCAATAAGCAATGTCATACCTTAATCATATAATGCTAAAAGACGTATGAAAACTCATACGTGTGAATGTAAGTTACTCGTATCTATTAAGCTTAGTTGTAGTTTTTTTATAAAAAAAAAAATGAGAGGTGTTATTTTTGGAGCCCTTTCACTTTATACAATATATAGAATAAAGCTTGATAAGTATCACTTTCAAAGTTTCAAGTGATCATATATACTTGTATATAACATACAAAAACTAACAATGTACAAAAGTACGTTTGACAAATAGCATCAGGAACATAGTTGGGAACTTTGAATATACTGAGACTCATGATTTATATAGTCTTCAGACTCTTCAACTTCTTTACATTAGTCTGAATATGCCCTTTGTTTTGGTCTTCAGAACTTTACCAAACTACAATATACACAAAAACTCTACATGACTACATTGTCAAAAATTAACCTGCCTTACTACTTAGCTAGCTAGCCACGATGTATAGAAACTTTGTAAAAATTGGGCTTACGACTGACCAGCTCAAACATACATGCATCTCCAACCTTCAAATGATTATCCCACACGAAATGCTTCCATCCGCTCAGAAGTTGTGCATGTTTCTTCCCTAAATAATATCCGACGGCATGGTTTTTACCAGTTGGCCCTTTCAAGATGATCTTCTCAGATTTATCACTCGGGAAGTAAGTTGAAGCATGGCTGTTGAATGGAACACTCTACACATCATGTAGACTAGACTTAAAATCATGAGATATTATAATAATTTTACAAAAGTGTACACAAAAAGGAAAAAAAAAAAAAAAAAAAAAAAAACAGATTAATAATCTTACCAGGGTGTATTTGTTACGAACATGTGAAGGACACATAATGGATTTGAAGTGAGGATATTGTGATTTTAAGCCATCAAGCTTTTTCTTGAGATTTTTCTTCCTCATTTCATCATTCCCTTCACATAATCACACGCAAATTAAAGAATAATTTAAATATACATCAACTGCTGAATTGATTTTGTTGCATTGACATAATTTATCGTATTTGAGGATTTAACAAGGGTTTAATTACTTTGGAAACCATTTATTAGTTCCTTGACAGGAACGTGACAGTACCAATCAGTAGTACATGTAACTATTATTTTCCGACAAAACTTCTACTTTTCCTATGTAGTGCAGATAGTTAAAACACTTGGTATTAGATAAAAGATACTGCTTGTAATAGTATAGTGTATACTGAGTGTGACAAAGAGATGAGAAAATTTTGCATACTATATACCTTTACTATTGAAGCTTACACCTTCTACATCATCTGAATCTGATGTATCAAGATTTATAACTGAGTCGATTGTGTTGAGTTTTGGAGAGGATTCATCAAACGTTTCCAAGGAGACATCATCGGCCTCCTCAGTGTGATGGCTGTGATCTTCTCTAACACCATTCTTAAGCTCCCTACTGTCAGCACTTCTCTTTGATACATGAGAGTTTCGAACAGGATAGTCTATCTCCGTACCACTCTTGTCAAGTATAACGACATAAAAATGTGATTGCAGACCCCCATCTAGCCTAAATACCAAGAGATGCCCATATTCTAAGTTATAGAACTCCACAAAATCTTGCCAACCTTTACCTAAGGACATATCAGTGTTTTCTTTCTTCATTTCCACTTTCCATGGTTTTTCAGAATTTGGCACATTAAGGTACACGTCATCAGATAATTGTTCTCCATATTTCTTCACAAACACCACCGGAATCCTCTGTCATACGGGTGAAACAATGACCATGTTCAATTATTGTTAAGATTAAAAACCGTCTCCTAATCTGGCTAATCATGCAAGGCAAGTGTAGTCTAACAGGCTAACAGCATTACAGCAATACAACATGCATACACACAAGAAGATGAGATTACATAATTTACACCAAAAAGTCTATATAGAATACAGGGGAAAATTACAGATTGTACTGATTCACTAACATCAGCATAATACGAAGTAACAAAAAAGAACAATGCACTCTAGCACCAACATTTCATCAGTCTCCTACAGTCCTACTCGTAATACTAGCATTTGTTTTTAATTCAATGATTCAATCAGTCCACCTCATTTCTCATACATGGATTATAGTACTTAAAGACACCCCCGATTCTATCAATACTAAGACCAACTCTCCACCGAGGGTACATTTAGGAAGACACCCGATCCTAACATTTTAGATCAAATCTTACTAGAAGTACTTCTCATACGTCTACCTAGGTACACCCACTTCCATTAATTTCAAAATGAGTAAAAAGGAGGAATTGTTTTTGACACACTCATTGTAAGAGCACAATTTTCTATGCTCTCCTCACACAGGCATATACCAAAATCATTTCGCGTAAAAAGGGTTATCCCTTATCCTAGTCAATTTTTGGTAACAGAAAAGCGGCTCTCAAATTAAGCATATTTCCTTGTCCTCCTATTTTTAGGACACGCTCCATGAAGCATGGAAACTTCTAGGACTACATGAAGTCTCAAAATTCAACATCCCAATCGTTTCAAAGGCTGATTTTTTAGGGTTAGTCGTTTTCGAATTTCGTGCTACATTATTTGGAATTACGGATCACTTTAACCCAAGAATCATACATGGATCACTCAACTCCCCAAAATATTTAACAACCTCTAAAAAATCGACAATCATCAAAGTAAAACCCCAATTGAATTTATGGCAAAATGTAGTAACCCACATGAAGTAAATCAATTTCAGTAGATTATAATTCAACCAAAAGCCAAGAAAATCATATAATATACACTTAATAGTCAATATAACAGCAATTTTTGCTTTAATCTTGATAACACAGCACTAATGTTATTTACCCAAAACAAAAAAACACACTTTATACATTCAAGATCATAATATTAGTAAATTTAAACATAAAAATGGTATATAAAAATACTAACAAAATTAAAAGTAATAAAAAAAAAAATGGATAAAAATAAGTACTTACGATTTTTGAGCAAGGGGAGAAACAATGATTTTGAAGAAATAGGGATTTCTTTTCTGTGAATCAAACCCTGTTTTTGTAGCGTTACTTTCTTCAAGCGCTTGCCTTTTCTTAATCATAATTAGACGACTACTTCTCATGATTTTCAACTAATTATTATTTTTGTCCGTAAATTAAAAGAATTATATGGACTAATTATATACTAGTACTGGAGTTATGGAGTAGTGTGTATTTGAAAGGTCGGCTGAATGGCAAAATTTTTAGTATTCCTTTATCTGTTATTCTGTATTATACTGTCTTAATATTATTAATACTTAGCTGTAAAATGAATCAATATTCAATATTACTACTCCGTAATGTGTATTATACTGTCTTAATAACAAAATGGGTCATTGCTAATACAATCTTTGGCCCATTTATTTTTAATAATACAATCTTTTGATAATTTTCGAATAATACAATCTTTAGGGGTATTAATTTTAAACTAAGTTAAAATCGGATATTCAGTGGGGTTTTGGTGATAGAAGAGGAGGGAATATCCCCTTTCACCACCAAAAACTTATCCCTTCCCCTTTCATAATCTCGAAATCCACCGCTATCTAATTTTGTCCTATTGAAAATTAACACTCCTTAAAGTTTGTATTATTAAAAAATAATCAAAACATTGTCTTATTATAAAAGAATGAGTCATAGGTTGTATTGATATTAAGAACATTATTTCATAATTATTGTGCAGTACGTAGGTGTGTTTTGATTTTTTTTTTTTTTTTTTTAAAAAACTAAACAATAAAGAAGACAAATTTTAGGTCACTATCAAAATTCAAAAATAAGGAAGATAAATTTTAGGACACTATCAAATAAATAAGACAACTAGATCAGATCATCGTTTTATGTGTAGTTTTTTATCGCTAAATATCTTTAATTTTGTAATTAAAAAAATTGTGAAACCTACACATTAATAAATACACATTATTAAGAATTTAACAAGATCTCATTTGATACATTTTTTCCTTATAGATTATCGTATATTTAAGGTCAAATTTTAGTCAAATTAGACAATCAAATCTGATCATATCATATCAGACCAGACCAAATCAGATCATACTAGATCAAATAAGCAAAACTAAGGTGAACCAAATAGGGATGTCAATGGGGCGGGGCGGGGCGGGGCGGATGTTGGCATTCCCATCCCCATCCCCACCTAATATTTCCATCCCCATCCCCGCGGCGGGTCCAATTTTCATCCCCATCCCCGCCCCACCGGGTACAACTCCAAAACCATCCCCGCCTTACCCCCCACTTGGATATCCATCCCCACCTAATCCCCACCAAAGACCCGCCTAATCCCCACCCAAGATCCACCTAATATCCGTATTTCAAATACACAATCTTACATAATTAATACGAATTATAAAATAAAACATTCTATACACATTTTTGTGTTATAATATAAGTGTCGTACAAAGTATTATAATTAATATTGTATTTCATGTAATTATTTTATAAATAGAATAAAAGTATGTAACTTTGCTTTAAAAGATATATAAATGTGAGTATGAGGTGGTGATGGGGCGGGTGCGAAGTGGGGCGGGGCGGGGATGGGGCGGGTACAACTTAAAATCTACCCCCGCCCCATCACCCATGGCGGTTATGGTTTTTATCCCCACCACCCGCCAAACCGAGACCCATCCCCGCCCCATTAGGACGGGGATGGGAGGAGACCCGCCCCACTGACATCCCTAACCAAACAAGCCCTTATAAGACTTACTTATAACATAACCTCTTAACCATTTCTTAATGTTACAAAAAAAAAAAATAAAAAAAAAAATGGAACGATTCTGGGTATATTTGTACGCCCATAGAAACAATCAGAATGTTGTAAATAGATTCTTCAACATATAATAGTGTATAATTGTTGTTGATTGAGTGACTTGGTAGTTCAAAATTTTCTCCATTATATTAGAGTATTAGACAACATCATCAATTTTTAATATATTAAATATCAACAATACTCCTAGCTAGCTCATCATTATTAGTTGCATGCACTCGTGCAGTATATTGGAAAATTGAATTTCATAAGAAGATGTGATGCAATCCTACTTCATTATTGTTCAAATAAAATGTCTTGGGCAGAATTGAGTGTTACTCAACTAGGCAACTTTAATTTCATGCAACCATCAATTAACCAATACCTTGAGAAAAAACAAGAATTGATGAGGGTAACATTGCAAGTCTGATTCAGCTCCGCAATCAGGATCTTGCGTTCGGAGACTACTACATCTACCCGTTTGGTTATATCTATTTACGCACATTAAAAAATGAAAATGAAGTTAGTTGTTACCTTCCTTAAATGTTATGTGCAACTTTGGGGTATTATTTGTGATATATAAAATATTCTAAAGTTGTATATAACATTTAACGAAAGTAATATCTAAAATGAGTTGGCCAGATTCGATCTACTAACTTTGAATGACAAAAGGCGGATAGCATTATAGTAATCGATAGGGAGACTCAAAAGATACATCATCTCTTACCAATTGGCTTCATATAAGAATAACCAAACTTTTAAATGCTCAAATAATTTCAAATTCTAATAGAAATCTACTAAGAAATCAAATTAAAGAGGAGAAATAGTTAATTAATTAATCCATAATACAATACGAGTACATAACAAGTCAATACAAGTAATGACCCAGCAATATTCAAAGGAAAATACTTTAGTGGTTCGGATGACGAAAGATGGTAGCCTTATAGGTATTGCTCTTAAGATCGACGAGCTCGAAAACACAAGCATCTCCTACGTGTAGCTTATTGTCCCTTACAAAAGTTCGCCATACAGATCCACCAATACTCGCCGATGTACTGAACTTGTAATAATACGACCTTAAATTATAGCTCTTTTCATCATCATGTCCTTTTAAAATCAAATCCCGTCTATGTTTATTTTTAAAAAACACTTTGGCATAGGCAAATGGAACACCCTACACACAAATAAGGATATATATATGATGAATCATCAACTAATCTTATTAATTCATATACTAAGGGGTTGTTTGGTTGACAAATAAAAACATGGGAAGTTGGAAATCCTAGAAATTGAAATTCTTTGAAGTTGTTTGGTTGACAAATTCATGGGAAGTAGAAATTCCCATGAATTTCCACTTCGCACAAAATGGGGGAAGTTAATTACCTAGGGGGACCTAGGTAAGTGGAACTTCCCACTTCCCTTAGTTAACCAAACACTTTTTAGAATTTCCTAGGAAGTTCAATTTCATGGGAAATCAATTTTCCAAGGAATTTGCAATTCCTACATTCAACCAAACGAGCCCTAATTATTATAATTAGGTAAAAAATAAAAAAAATTAACCTGCTACTTGCTTCTCTTACCAATATTGGACTTTTACTTGTAACAAGTTTCATTTTCTGATATTCCATGACAACTTTGAAATGAGGATTTTCTGATTTGAAAGCTTCAAGACTTTCTATAATACTTTTGTTTTCATCAAAATCCACAACACCCTTTGCATCTACATCAAAAAAAAAAAAAAAAAAAAAAAAAAAAAACTTAGACACGATACGAAAATGTTAAGGCCCTTAAGGGTGGTCTTACCATATGTCACATGCAAGACTCGCAACTAATAAAAAACGGAGGAAATAAAACACATTACCGGTTGAAATGACACCATGATCATTATTGTCATCTTGATCCACCCCTTCTTTTTGTGATGAAATTTTTATCAATTGTTGACCCTTAGTATGATTATCGAACTCTTGATCATACTCTATTTCGAAACAAGTCGTGTCGAAAATAGTGACATGGTATTCATACTTAATATCATCAAATCTAAATAGAAGGAAGTAACCATATTTAAGTGAATATTTCTTCACAAAACATTCCCAACCTTTGCTAAGCCACACTTTGCCACCTTCTTTAAACAACTCTACTCTCCAAATTTTACCATCATTTACTCTTAGTGTAACGTAGTCATTTGCTAATTGCTCTTCATAATACGTCTTCACGTATTTTTCGGGTATTTTCTGCTTCCCATAAAATGAAGTAGCAAGAAATATGTCAGTTATAAGATAATTAATCATTAAAAACTAGCAACAATATAATTTTGTATGAAACCTAAGCTAAATTATTACATTAAATAAAAATAAAAAGAGAAATTATAATGAACTTACAAGTTTGTGAGTTTGAGTTGAAGGAGCTACAAAAATTTTGTAAAAACAAGGTTCAATTGCATGCAAATTGTCAGGGATTATTTCTGGAAATGTTGTTGATGCAATCTTTTTACCCTTGTTTTTGTTGCCGTTTTTAAGGACCTCCATTTGGTAGATTATGAAGTAGTGTACACTAGTTATTATAGTTATAGCCAAGGCAATTATAAGATATGAACTTAAGAAAGAGAGTTGTTTGTGGATGATTATGAAGTAGTGTACAGTACAACCAAGGCAATTACTACATTTGTTTTTTCAGTTGATACCGTTTGACTTTTACACTATTCACACACTACACTTTGACTCACTTTTGCGAATTATATACACGATAAAATATGATCATGTGAGATCTTGTTTGAATCATCTTGATATATATTTTAATAATATCCGGGTTTTTTTTTTTTTTTTTTTAATTTTAGAATATTGATAATTAGATATATACTAAATGTTAAAAACATGTGTTTACAAGCGTGATAATAGAATGCTCTCAATTAAAAAACTAAGGTAGTATAAGATTAGAAAGTATGTCATCGTTCGTCATAAATGCTAAACTTAGTACAATTTATGTCAGTCCGTCATGTCCCTAACCCTTCGTACCACTTAGCCACAGCAAATACAATTTTACGAGATTTGATATCCTCATGTTTTAAAATACTCTCTTCATATTTAAATAATCGAAACATTTTAACTTTTTACACTATTTATATAATTCAATTTGACTAATGTTTGTGATTTTTAAACATAAAAATAAATATAGTTTGTGAGTACTTGTTGGAATTGTCTCAATTAATAAATTGTTTATTAATATATAATTGTTATAATTTTTACTAATTGATAATTAAAGATATTTTCAGTCAAAATTTTACATTGACATACGTATTTGAGAAAAATGTGTCACTTATTAAATACGGATGAAGTAAAATAGAAAGTTTTGCAAGTATACAGATAAATGGGACACGTGTTACAAGTA